ATTCTATGATTCTATGAAATGCTTTGGATATCTGGCCATCTACTCTGCAGACTGATAGGCAGAGCAAGTAGGCATTAAGGGAACAAGGACAAATAACAGTTTCCCACTGATGGTAATTGTACATGCTGCGCAACTGTCGGGAATTAACAGTATAATTTATGCAAATGTGAAATTTCATAGGAGTCCCACTAGTTGAAAAGGGCTGGTGAAGTATAAGAGCACTATGTTTAAAGTAATCCTACCAGGATGCATCCATTTGTCTAGGTACTACCATTCAGCAGCACAAGTTAGCCAATATCCTGAAAAGTCCATGTCTTTAGAAGTGTTTACATGATCCAAGTCTAAATTGCCAAGTCTCAGTATGCAAGGGCCATAACAGTGTCATGAGTGGAAAACAGTCAACAACCACTTATTTGCTCATTTGTGAAAAGTTACACATTGCATGTGTTTGTGATTTTGTCACATGAGCCTTGTCCCCATGTACAACTCCTCCAATTAGCATGACTTTGAACTCCTCCAAGCAGCCACTTTCATGAACCTGTAGGAAGCTCATTGTCCCTGTCCTCTGCTGCTGTCAGATTTGGCTAGAAGTGTCCAGTGAGCGCCAAAGTTGTTGGAAGAAACCAGCAGACACACATCTGGAGAGCCGCTGCTCTTGCACAGCCTTGGTTTCCTTAGAAACTAAGGATTTATATTACGTGTCGTAATCAATCTTGCTGTAAATATGCTACATGGGCATGTTTCTCTTCTAAGATTTTATTTTAATTTTATGTAAATTATGAAATAACATGCTAATTTCTTTGTAACAGCCTTGCGTAATAACAGTCAGTAATTTTTTTCTAGTAAGACAGATTCTGCTTTGTAAGCAGGTTTTGAAGTCGGTGTCCTGGATAGCTGCGATCAGAAAAGCACACCAGACCTACGTCCTGGAGGCCAGATTGCTGTACTGCCTAACCTTGATACAAAAGTGTTCATGAGCGAGAAAACCATGTCAAGTTCTCACTGCATCTTTACCCCTTTCCAACCAATTGCACAGCTACTCAATTTGTACCATTTGCTGAAATCCTCACCTACAGATTATACATAATTTCTGAAATATTTTCAAAGCTTTTAATATAACAAAAAAGTTCCTCAACTTTCTCTTCAAATACCTTTTTTTTTTTTTTTTTGCATGATGGCAACAGAAATACACCATGGGCTGAATCCAATATTTTGACAGAACTGTCATCCAAACACTCATCACTATGACACTTCCCTTACTTTTTTCACACTGAATAGAGTTAGTCTGAAGCACACTGATAATGTGAATAATTGCAGTGTGGGAGACTCGAGTTCAAAGCCAATCCTGTTACCTTGCTGTGTGAGTGGTAGTTGTTAGAATTTGCTGTGGTTTCCTATTGTGTGCAAGAATACTAATTGCTTTAGCAGCACGTATGCATTCTGTTTTTCTCTGTTTTAAAAGGAGACTATAGTGACTAGAAATGTAAAAGTATAATCTTCCTGGGTAAATTGGTCGGCACTTAAGTAATCAAATGTTAATGCAGTCTTGTAAAAGTCGTTTTAGGGAAATATTGCAAGGTTTATTCACTCCGAGAGTATTCTCAAGAGCCAAAGTACAGCTATTTTTTTCTGCACGATTGAGTCTTAAATATTGCATCAAGACACAACAAACCAGGTTTTACTAGTCCTATAATACTGCTTAAGAATGTTTTGAAAACATCATATTTGCCATCAGCCACCCAAGGCATCCATTAATGGATGAATTAAAAAAAAATGTCTGGGAGTATTTTAATTCCATTAGACTACAGCTGTCTATGGTTTTTCAGGGTAAATTCATTTTAATGATTTTGTTTCTTTTTTTCTCCTATAACCTCTAGGCTGTTCCAGTGAATTGTTTTCTTCTAATGCAAGTGTGAAAGAAAATGATAACGTATCACAGAAAAGGCATTTAAATGAGTTTTAACTGGTTTAGTTATTTAAAAATTATAGTTGTTTTAGATTGTCCTGTATTACATATTTTAGTTTGCCTCTTTTTTTTCTCTGATTGCTTTTCTTAAACAGCTCTTTTCCTCATTCGTCTCTTCACTTTCCACACTCTCCACCTTCTTAATTTCTTATAAATTTTTTCTTGCTAAAATGTCACCTCAAAGCAGTGACAACAGCCATCTTCAAAAGGGGATGTGCAATGTCTGAATAGCATCCTCCTTCTCCCCGAATCATGTCCCAGTAGAGTTTGTCTTATTGTCTCATTTATTTTCTGAAAAGAAAAAGGGTTCTTTAAACCTGTGGAGTAGCAGGGTTCTTTCAGGGTTCTTTCAGGGTTCTTTTAACCTGTGGAGTAGCAGACCCTTTTTGAACTTTCCCAGGTTTCTCTGTGTGTGTGTCTGCATATGACCTCCATGAGAGGTCATACATCCTAATTTAAACCTTGGCTTCACAAAGAACAAACTGTCTGGAGGACAGAAAAGCAGCAGTGAGGTGTCCCACACTGCTTTTCCTTTTCCCTCTAGTAAGGTGCAAGCTGCTCCTCCTTTTTTACCTAGCCCATAGGTCAAGAGGAAAAGGGTGAGAGGGATCCCGGCACATCTCCTGCTTGGGGTCTTACCCATAGGAAACAAAACAGGCAAGAAGGCAGTCAGAGAGGGTTTTTCCCAGATGCAGCTGAAATATTCAGGAGAGCCAAAGCTGGCAGCACTGCTAGTAAACCCACCTGCTCGCTTCCAAGTAGGAAAGGTGTTTTGTTGGTTCCTTATATCCATTCATCATTACTGTGTACTACTTTCAACCCCAGGAGAAACATGAGTTTTGAGAAAACAAATTGCTTATGAAGTTAGCAGATTTGCCCATCTTAGATTTTATTTTATACTGGAAGTATCCAGATGGAAGCAACATGTTTGATGTAGTTAGACCTACAAATTTGATTTCATCTTCAGGTTCAGCATTTTGACACGTGTAATTTAGCTTACAAGAGAGGTTTATGCCTCAGAGCAATGCATTTTGAGGTCACAGGCAAAAAGCCAACCTCCAGCTACTTGTACTGAACTATACTTCAAATTCTCCGAAAGGAGTCAAAATGGAGGTGGCTTTCCTCATTTTTAGTGATGTATCAGATTCTCACAAGGTGAATTCATTTCAAAAGAGGAAAAAAATACCCCAAATGATCTTGATGGGGGTCTTTGAAACCAAATTCCTGCAAGCTGCACTGTGCTGGTCAGCTCTCACACCACCGGGAAGTGTATTGGTTGTACAGATGCTCACAAATCATTTTTAATACCTCATTTCAGGTCTTTTGAGATTAATTTTATCATAAATTTGGAAGCCTGATTTAATTGCGCTAATTATATTTTCTCCTGGGAGTTGATGGATTACTACTTACCATCCTCCTGCTGTACATAATGAATCACACTGAGGCTTTCTGTTATTTATACCTGCTAAAAGTCCAGGAAATGAGTTGCAATAGGCATTAAAGAAACATGTAAGAAATTACCCTAAAACCACGTGCTACATGTTCGTACTCCTTTCGTAGATCTGTTATCACATAGGATGATAATGATTCTGTTCTTCTGAAAGTAATTGCAGAAATTCCATTTTAATTTTTTCTCTGTGGGGAATCCACGGAAAAGAGAGCGTATTTCAGACATGGGAGACATCCCCTGCTCCTCAGCGCATCGCTCTATGAACTCCCATTCTCATATATCCGTTTTTGAGCTGAACGCGGTAGATCTGGGAGTCATTACGGCCACCACACTCCCTGGTACTTGTGATGCCATCAGATGCAATTGCGCGCGCATCGGAGGCTTGATTTCGCGGTTCCTGGAATTTGCCACAGAAGGCAAACAGGAATTAGGTGACACCCTGTCATAGAATGAAGTCGTTCTGTCACGTTCAAGCGCCAGTCACCAGAGCATCCCATCTTTTGTATGTTTTTGGAAAATCGTGTTGGCTCCTCCTGGTCTCGGAGTGACCTTCTCTGCTCTGCGTTCGTCTCGTGCAAAAAAGCTTATCATCAGTATTTATCATTTATGTGGAAAGAAAAACAGTCCACTCCTGCAATTAAAGCAGTGTGCTCTTTGTCATCTTAATTCCTCCTGTGGATTTAAAAAAAAAGAGAAATCTTGGTTACTTGGAGTGATGGGTGTTCCCAAGGGCTGATTCCCCACCCCCATCTTCACGCCTCCTGTTAGAATCATAGAATCATAGAATGGTTTGGGCTGGAAGGGACCTTAAAGACCATCCAGTTCCAACCCCCCTGCCATGGGCAGGGACACCTTCCACTAGACCAGGTTGCTCAAAGCCTCATCCAGCCTGGCCTTGAAGACATCCAGGGATGGGGCATCGACAACATCTCTGGGCAACCTGGTCCAGTGCCTCACCACCCTCTCTGTGAAGAATTTCTTCCTGATATCTAATCTAAATCTCCCTGTTTTCAATTTATACCCATTACCCCTTGTCCAATCACTACAGGCCCTTGTAAAAAGTCCTCTCCCAGCACCCTTGTAGGCCCCCTTCAGATACTGGAAAGCTGCAATGAGGTCTCCTCGGAGCCTCCTCTTCTCCAGGCTGAACAAGCCCAATTCTTGCAGCCTTTCATCATAGGAGAGGGGCTCCAGCTCCCAGAGTTTTGTTCTGCAATCTTTCTCACTGGCCTTTGCAGCCAGAGTGATATCTAAGTTAGGAACGAGCACATCTCTGGTTCGGACTTGATGCTGAACTGCTAGCTGGGGACTGTTTCTGATCCTCCCGGGCCCCCCCCATAGAGAAAGGTGAGGTCCCTTTCCCCCCCATGGCGAAGAGGCTTCTTCCTAGGCGGTCGTGTCCTCGCGACACGGAGGTGGAGGAGAGCCGGCACTACACTGCTTGGACAGTTGGACGTCATGTAGACCCTCGGGATGTCAAGCACGAGTTGCAGATGCCAAGGGGTTTCTTCTGCTGCTGGGGGTATTGGGTTGCCAAACACCGAGTCCAGTGAGCTCAGCTGAGATTTGGGAAGGGGCGACCCACATCTCTCTAGTTTCCTGAGCTGGTGAAAGCAGGATTTTGACAGCTGTTCACGCTGTTATTTGAGTGGTTAGTCCCTTTTATAAACTGCATTTTCTCAAATGCGCCATCACCTAAAGGTGGAGCCTTCTTTCAGATATGACAATCATTTCCCCTTAATTAATCTTGCTGGTTTGTTCACCTTGGTGGAACAGATCTTCACGAGGAGAAAGAAAGGCACGTTTCCTTCAGAGGCGAGCTATGAACACGCTAAATTGAAAAGCTGCGATGCTCTGTCACATTAACTCCGTCCCTACGATGCAGCAGTCGCCCTTGATAAATGGCACCATTAAGAATAACATTAGAGAACACGTGCGCTGGGTTGTGATGGCAACCAGGATACCTAAATACCCGGTGTTACACACATTGCTCTCCTCAATTATGCCTTTGGAAATGATGGACATATAGGGGGAAAAAAGATCTAAATTATTTCAGTTTATCATTACAGTTGACAAAATACATGGATTATAACTGGACGTTCTCTTGAGCTGTAAACCTGTAGCTTTAGGGCTATGAAGAAATGCATGATTATGCTATATTATATAGAACTAAATAACACATGGCATCATTTATAACACAAACTACTGTACAATTCTATATTTATTAATATAAATCGTGTGTGTGTGGGTGTATAATGTTACATAAACCCACAGGAGCAGTTTTCCAGGGTGTCTGTCACTGCCATACCAAAGTGCTGACACCGCTGTGAGTAGGAGAGTGACTGCCTGTTTAAGACTGCAAGTGGCAGCGAGCATTATTTTCTTCTTCCTCTGACCTACCTTTCCCTGTTTCTGAACTGCTGGTATTCAGTTCTTGCTTTAAGCCAGTTATCTGGCTGGGGCTTGCTTATTAAAAGTCACAGGTGTTTCTTTAAATCACACCTCTGTCAATGAATCTCTTCAGCGGGTCATATTGCTATAGAGTCCTGGAGGTTTCTGACTCGAGCTGTAACACAGCTCGGAGTTATATCCTTTGATATCAGTGCAGACTTAAAAAGTGGTAGGGGATTTTTCCAGAACCCTTGGTGTTATTTTCACCTTTTCATTGCAATCGATAGTAACGGCACTGTTCCCACACAGCCTGTCAAGGTCACGGTTAGGCTAACACTGACCACTTCCATCATCCCACCGGTGCCTTCTTTTGCTCTCTCTCCTATATATAGTTCAAATTAAATACTTATTACAAAAGGATATATTTATTCTCCTTTAAAACTACCCTTGGATGCAGTGCCCCAAAGAGCTTGAAGCCATTTAAGCAACCTTTGGGCTGGAGCTGGTGCCTGTGCAGCTGATGTGTACAGCCCCTTGGTTTCCCTCTTGCCGGCTGTACCTCTGCTGCAAGTTTACCTGGGCAGGAGCTGCAGTTGTGCTCCATCTTCTTCTGCAGCAGCTAAGACAGAGGGCTCTGGCTCATTACTCTGGCTTCTAGAGTGCATGCAAATTATAATTGTTTAAACACACTTCAGTTTATTTTTAGTCTGAAAGATGGGAGAGTGGGCAAGCCAGAGACTGGAAAAAAGGCAGAGGAATTCTGGTGTCTCAGCTTTTCTTCTTCGGGACCTTTGCAGCGAGCAAGGCAAAATGAGGTAGCAGTTAAGAACCACAGGCTATGGCTCGTGTGGAGGCCCTGACATCTGCTAGATGCAGCTTCTGCAGTGGAAGTTTTTGTAGAATCATAGAATCATAGAATGGTTTGGGTTGGAAGGGACCTTAAAGACCATCCAGTTCCAACCCCCCTGCCATGGGCAGGGACACCTTGCACTAGACC